ATAATATGAATTTTATAAAGCACATTTTCGTCTATAGTGTTTGAATAGACGGATTAAATAGCAACGACGTCTATTTGTCGCTTTATCCACTTGGATTACTCTTGCAGACTAATAATTTACACGTAATATCGAAAACGCGCGAACTCTTGCGAGTATTCTTTACATGCGCGTTCAATATTGGCTCTCTAAGCTAAATCGACGCGCGTGGGCTGCTTTAGAGAAGCGTGTCTTCTACCGCCTACGCGTACTCCACCGAATATGCTCATGCATTGTCGTAAAAGTCACAGGAAGCTACCGTCCTTGTAAGAGAAGGGTCCTCGCTTGTGAACTAAACTTAACGAGCGAAGATACGCGCTTTGCGCGCGAACAGCAGTAAAGGAGCTATTAATAAATTATGAAGTCATTAATGACGCGGTGCGAATTATTAGGTTTTTTCTTCTCTCTCTCTCTCTCTCTCTTCTCTTCCTTTTTAAAATTTCACAGCGATTTATTCATAAAAATGTGATGGAAATCGTATTTCATTTCGTATCGCAACATGTGCAAATCGGAATTTAAATATATTATAATACAGATATATCCTGCATGGAAATTTCGTAAAATCGCGCTTAGATGTGGTATCCGAGCGAGAGGTTCTACCTTTGAGGCACCTTTACTCGCGGCTCAAGGTCGAGCGATAACTTTTTTATTATTGGCAGGAAACAGATCAAGTACGCAATTTATTACAACTTCCTCCATTTAACGCCGATAACGTTTCCGGCCGTTTTTGCTGCTCGCAAAGGATGTTTGTGTAAAAAAATTTGATTCATATTAATTTTACAATTTAAGATGGAACGTTGAGATAATCTAAGACGGCAATAATCGTATTTCTATCTAATAAAAATTCTATTTATACCTCGATACCTCGATAAAAGACTTTTGATATAATATTTGAAGTTTCAATTATATGTATAAATATTTTTTTCGAAAAATCTGGTAGTTTGCGTGAAATAATTGCAAAAGCATCTCGAGAAAAGTGTAAAACGAACGGACGCAATTTCTCTCTTTCCAATGCCAAAAGATTTTTATATAATTGATATATCTCTCCGCGCGAAATAAGAGACGGCGAATAGATTGTCCGCGCATATATATCAGAGATATTTATTATCCACCGTTGTGTCTATCGAGACGAGAGTTATATCTTAAACGCGCTAGAGACAGCGCAAGAAATTGCGATCCACGCGATCGCGCCGAAAGAATGACGTTGTATATTTTTGCATGCATAAAGAGCGTTCAAGAGTGTCGATGCGTAAGAGTGCAAAGTGGTAGTTAGAATGCCGCGAACGAGCGCATGATATAGCTAACTCAAACCCGTCGGATATTTATATGCGCGTCGAACGATATTGAGAAGTCGGCTTAATGACAATCACTCGTAACGCAGGATCACTCTCGTCCTTGCAACCCGCAGGATCCTTGCCCCTTGCACGGCGCGTTGCGTAAGCCGACCGTTCGATCCGTGCTTCTTTCTCGATTATCATCTCGACACACACACATTGGTATACCTGCTATATACACGCTGCTGCGTGCGTGTGTGTGTCCACGCGTATATTACTTTGTATTGAACGCGATCGCTTGCGAGTACCATCTTTTTTTTTCTCCCGTGACAAACATAAGCGAGAGACACGACACTTTATAGTGTCTTGCTGATAAATTATGATAACTCTCGATCTCGCGTGACAAACAATAACCCATCACACACACACACACACACACACATACACACAAGTTGCGTATAATATTCTCGCAGGATTTTTAAGATTATTTATTGAGACTTATTGGACTCGGTACGTATCAGGTTAATTATATACTCTAATAATAACTGGATGTTAATGATGTGGACAATGACGCGCTATGACACACGAGGCATTTCGCGTCGTATTTTAAACTCGAAGCGAATTACGAAGCGGAAAAACCTATTGAGAGACGATCTTGTTCGAGTAAAGTGCATCAATAACACATAATATCTGGAGCGATTAATCTATTATTAATATCTAATTAAGTGTTTGAAAAATGCCGATGATTGCTACAGCTATTGCTATGTTAACTTTTCAGTCGCGGAATTGCTTTATAATCGAAGTAGGTTGCTAATACACGATCGAAGGAGTAATTAAAACGTACGTCCGATAATCTGCGCAGCGTCACAAGGCCCTCGCCGACGGCGAACGTCGTTCAAGGTGATCCGATCTAATCCCGTATCTGTGAATGTGATTGCAGGTGACGAGCAGTATCGGGGCGCCGGCGGTTCGAGCAGCGGAAGCCCGCCCGCCAGTCTCTTGGTGGTTCCTCAACCTCTCACCGTCAAACCCTCTCACCCATCGCATCTGAATTCTCATCTCGGTGGACCGCACTCGCATCCGCCGAGGAAGTACCAATGCAAGATGTGTCCGCAGGTGAGTGATACCGATATCCCTTCGATATCTCTTCGACATCGATATACGGGGAGAGGGGGAGCGCTTATTTTTATCACATCTTATAATTCTTTAACAGCGCGACGCGATCCAGTTTATCACGTCGATGTATTTGATCTAAACGAAGGGGGGACTACGCGTCCCCCAACGCGCACGCAATTGATATTTAATATTAATATCTAATATTTTTTGTAGCGTAGAATATAAAAAGCACCGCCGTCGTAAAAAATATTTGTTCAAAAATGTGAACGCTCCTGCAAATGTCGCGTAACCCGTTATCGGTCTTTTCTTTTTCAGACAATTTCTTTTTTTTTTTTTTTTTTTTTTTTTTTTTCTTTTTTTTTTTTTTTTTTTTTTTAAAGGGGGTCTTTTAAAAGAGTTATTTCTTAGAGGAAAATCATTTTATAGTTTTTTATTTTTTATGAAAATTATATTTCAAGGAAAAATTTTTTTAACAGTTATTTTTTAGGGATAAATATTAAACTTTTTTTGCGGGCAAGTTGGGATTCTTTTATATACTTGGCGTATTTTTTTTACCTTTGTGAGGTTTTTTTGTGGGATCTCACTGCTTTTTGTAAAAATTTAAAATTTGAAATTTTTTCTGCAAAATATAAAGTACTACATTATGCAGTATATACATGGATGTGATTTTTTTAGAAATTTATTCAATAGAAAGGAAATTCTTTTTTAGCAGAATTTTGTCTTTCCATTTTTCATTTTCCATTTTTTTCAAAGGAGTGCCTATAATAGAATAGCTTTACGACGATCTTTCCCATTTCTATCCCATCGACTTATTGTCTTTTTCATTGTCTATATTTATTATAGAAACGGTAGCGTTGAATTTAGAATTTAAAGGGTTAGACCTAAAGCAATTTACACAAAATTTTCTGTGGGAACGAAGTTACCACGTGCCATGTATAAAATCTGATATTATCCGGTTGTCGCCACTGTTATAAAAGATGAATTTTCTTTTTATTGAGAGAAAGAAACCGTTAGTTAGGAATTTTTTTCGGAACCACTGAGGTTGGTAAAAGGGTTATAGCTACTTTTCCCGAACTCGTTATATGTCTTTCGTTTACGACTGGAACGTACCGCCCATTCATGCATCTCATAAAAAATACTCAAGATTATCAACTTCACGTTTTTTGCGTACTCTTCTTCGCTCTCTGTTAGACTCGATTCTTCTCAATTTATTTTTCTGTCTTGCAAGAACCAACAACTCTCGTACTCTCGAGACTCGATAAATACAGTCTCAATGAAACTTATCATCCGCTAGAAGTGTTTGATATTAAATTAGTATTTATTTGTAATTATTATATATTATTATATATATTATTAAATATTTACGATATATTAATATCGTGGATGTTTTGCTGGATTTTTAAAATAATACTTTTATTGCGATGTACTTTATAATACTTTTATTTTTGCAATAATGATAAAATTTTATGATTACACACTTATATAAACGTGATTATTATTCTAATATATTTTCTAAATTATTTATATGGTCTTAAACCATCATAAGAGTTCATATTTTCTATCGTAGACTATCAAGATAAAATGACCGACCGTGCTACGTAGTACAGTTATATCTACGTGCAGTACAACATAACATAATATACAGTTATATTCTTCGTTTTCTCTATTTTTTGCCTCATTTTTTATTCTTATTCTAATATATAGAGTAGTTGCATTTATAATACTGAAAGGGTTAACAGTTTTCGAAGATGTCGGGAACTGTTTTATGAGTAGATTTTAGTGGTCGTCCCGGTTCCTTGTGAAAATCCCTTTGCGGCGTGTTTTTGTTTAAGTAAAAGGAATTTTAGTCAATTTTAAATTGTATGTGTGTACGGATACGTTATAAGTAATAAAATTTCTTCCGTTAAGTATAACAATACAGAATACAATCTTATCTCATAAAAATTTATTTTACTTTTTCATAGAGTAACCTTTGTTTCCGTGACAAAATTTTTTTTCGGTCTTTTTATGTTACGTTGTAATTTTCGCAAATTTTGAGATAACGAATTAAATACCTTTACATGGATAGAGTATTATTAAAGGATGATTGAATTTAAAGAATCGGTGAAGGGGTTCACTTTTTTATAAAATTTTGCACAATTTTCATCTTGTTTTTATTATATTCTAAGAATGCTGACAGTATTGCAAGTGACGCTAATCGGAAATTCGAATATTTTGTCATTTATAATCACAAATTGTTCCCCGCTCGACAATTTGAAATATCAAAATACGTTAAATTATTATTAATCTATTGACAATAAACACTTTTCAAATTCGAAAAAAAATGTAAATAATATAATAAAGTCATTATTAAATAATTCAGAGATAATCGTGTATTTTTTGAATTATCGATGAAGGAATTTTTGAAATATCATAAAAGCTAGGCAGATACGGACAACGAATATCGAATGATCGTATTGTAGCATCTATCTATGTTGCAAGATTGAGAGCCGAGAGAGTGGTTTGAAACCGAGACATGAGAGAATTCACTGAAATAATCAACGACCATAACAGATTGATATCATTTTTCAGAATCCAGCCCAGATTTCCTTAACTTTTATATTTGATCAGGATTTGTCCAACGCAAAGATACTTTTATCTCGTACGACGGGATATATCGTTTTAATCATTAATGTCTGGTGCGGGCGTGGTTTGAGGGCGACTTTTGCAACTTTAATCAAAGATACAGTATCCTCGCGCGTCTTTAAGATTTCGGTGCGCACCAGAGGGCTTACCGCGACAGGACATTAGAAATCTGACCTTTAGAAAATTTCTTGCCTCCACGTCGTTAAATTCCCTGTGGCGTCCCGGTCGCGCGCGACACCGTACATTCGCACAATTTATATCCCCGATGATGGATTTCAGTTTCGCAAATTGGTTAACGGCGCGCTTTACGAGCCGTTTAGAGACAATCGTAAAAGTTTACAGCTTTCCACGCTTTCCGCGATAATTACTGGCAAACGTAGTCGCGAAAAAAGACGGCGTAAGACGAGCGAGAGAGAGAGAATGACAGACATACAGTCAGACAGAAGGGAGGGCGAGAAAGGGAGAGAGGATGGAGAGGTTCGAAGGACGCGGCACACGCGACATTCCATAAAGCGGATCGTTAAAATTTAATGATATTCACCGAATGGGTATAGAATAGGGTAGATTATCATACACCGGAGGCCAGCGAAGCGCGCCGGCGCTTCTATTCGCCAAGTTGCGTTACGTCGAGGAAAAACAGGAGCAAGACGCGAAGTCGGCGATTAAAACCAGTTATCGCGTTGGATACAATGTGACACGAAAGGAGTTAATTTATTGCGGATCGAGAAACATCCTGCGTCGAGAAAATCCCGCAATCTTTCCTTTGCCTGTCTCTGTTACCTGAAATACCTCTCAATGAAGGATTCTTTCACGCCTGCCGGTGTGTACGTGCGATCTAAACCGTTAGGCGTTTCCAGGCAGGAGCGGAAGGTGCGACAGAAGGATAATCGTTAAGATGATGTGTCAAAGAAACAGAGACCGATCACGCTGGTGCTCTCATTAGCGAGAAATTAGTAAACGAACAAATCTAAATCCCACGTAGAAACGACCGTTTCGCGTTTCCTCTGTTAATGACTAATCCGGCCGGTTCTTAATCGCCCGACGACCTTATCGCTGGTCGACGACGCCGGCTAATAAAATGAATATTCGCCTATACGCGGATCCGCCAATTTACGTCAATTTTGGTTGTTATTGTTTTATTAATAACGAGGATGATTATAACGCGATACAATTATAAAACACATTGTCCTTTATTGCCTACTGCAATAATCAATTATTTGCACATCAGTTATGTAACAAATGAATGTTTGCGTGGAGTTATTTTTGGAGCACGATTATATTTCTTTAACGTTATTACTTTGTGACGCTTGTTACCGATAATACGTGGTATCTTTAAATATTATTAAAATATTATTTTTCTTTATTTTTAATTAATACAATTTATAAAATTATTATTGTGTTTCTCTGCTATAGTATTGTCATATTTTCACTACTATTGTATTTTTTAACGACAGTGCTTTGATAAATATCATACTTCATCAACTTTCAGTTGGATTTCCTGCCTAGAGAAGGGATATATATATATTTTTTAAATTAATAGCATCTTTTATTTATAATAAAAAGATGATTTTTATTTTTGACTTTGCAAAAACTGATCGGATCTAAAGATTGTGCTTATATTCTCGCTTTCTCTGTAGTAATAAATACTCGCTGACGATCGCGGACTGCGTCGCGTTCCAGACAGAGATTAAACCGAATCAAATTACACAATTGTGGCAGGTAAAAAAGAAGTTTACAAATTATACAGATTTCGTGCAACGGTACTGGCAGATTCCTCGCGATTAATCGCTCTCCGCGGCACGTTACAAAGTAGTAATTTCTCGTTATAATCGTTTCTCTTTATCGGATATCCTTTCGAAGAGTAAGATCGTCGAAAAGAGAGAATAAGAGAAATGTACTCAATAGGAAAAATAATAAATAAAAAGAATAGTAAAAGAAAGATGAAAGATCTTTGCGGTGAAATTATTGAAGGAGCATTGATATATTTTATTCCCGTTTACGATATCATCGCGAAAACAAGCTTTAAAAGCGATATTACATAATGATAAAATTGAATAGCAAGTATACAAAGGTAATGATATGGCGCTGTGCAATCAGAACATCAACATCTCTATAACAGTTCTCACGATGTAATCCTAATTATAGCTTATGAGGAGAAAAGAAAATTATAGAATATATAGTAGAATTACTACATTAATAATTATAATCATAAATCAATATGTTCGATTCGTAGACATTGTATAAATAACTGTATCTCGAATAGACACGCGACGGGAGTCTCAGATGTAGTTTATTCATGCTACATGAACAAGGTATTGATAGACAATTTATTCTCGATTAATTAATATCGATTATATAGTACAGGGATGTGTGTG